AGATTATTGATTGAATCAGCTCCATATAGAACATAGCTCTAGAGTTTATACATGTTTAATGAGGCAGTGTTACACATTCTAGGTTTACCAGCAGCTGGATTTCTTGTTTTTCGGGCCTCCAGTGGTTGAACTCTCACTGCTTTCAGTCTGGTGTCGAGTTTCTCTTTAAACATTTTAAAAGTGCTGTTTGTATGTGTCCATCGTGTGTGGTTGTTTCCTGTTTGTCTCCAGTGTAAACTGTGTGAGAGCAGTATAATGATGTAATGACGAGCTGTGTCCCTCTCAGTTGCTAAAGGGCCGTACACCGGCGTGGTGAAGCTGCAGACGATGCGCTGCCTGTTCGAGGCGTACGAACACGTCCTGTCTCTGCTGGAGAGAGTCTTCACCCCGATGTTCTGTCACAGCGATGAAGTAAGAGCTCAAAAACCCACAAACCCACTTATATCATCTGCCCCCTTAATTATAACAGAACATAAATACAGATGGTCTTCTTTACACAGATTTCTCTATAAATTCTCTTAAATTTAATAATATTTGAATAAGTCATTGTCCAAAGAATTACACTGTTTCACTGACAGATCTTTGTAAATACATTTCCTTCTATGATCTTCATAGTTTAATATAAACAACAGATTTGCCGGTAATAGTTTCTGCTTTACACATGAATAATACGGCTTTTAAATCAACTACATCAATAGGAAGCAACCAAGGACATTTATTTATCAAAATACAACATGCAGTTCATTCTACACATAGAAAAACATAATAAACATCATAGAATAACTCTAAAACAATAGAGTTAGTTACATACATGTATACAGCCACTTTCACACCCAGGAATTCTGTGCTTCATCTATTGAGTTTGCCTCTGCTGGAATATAAACAGTCAACACAGAGTCTGTTTACAGCGGCTAGTAGAAGGTCCAGGGTGATCTGATCACAAGTGGACGGCTCTAAATACAGTGTGAACAACTGCAGAGACACGTTGTGACACACACACACACACGTGTGTATATATATATATATATAAATAAATAAATAAATATAAATGCACACAGATCAACGCTCATCATCGTCATAAAAAGCAAACACAGGCAATGCCTGAATGGATGAGAGCCGCGTAATGAATCACTCACGGTGGGTAATTAATGAATTAGTCACTGGCTGGAAGTGAAGTCGGAGAGGGAAGTCAAAAACCATCTGAGAACAGACGATGCAGCTAACGAGTATTTTCATATTGATGGGCGGTCTTTAAAATGACATAAAACACGCCTGTCACAGGTTCCCAGACTCCATAGTGACATCTAGAGCTCAGGGATAAATGTGTCACAATAAAATGTTTCATTTGAGTCAATATACTTTAGATTATTATTGATAATTTAGTGGTAATTTAAAGGTCAGGGCAAACACAACCCTGGCAACTTGATGCTATTAATCGGGGTATTAACTTTCAACTTTAGACTCAACTCCTGTGTTCTACAATCACTTATTTGTTTCTCTTTCTATCATCTTTTCTGTTTCAACAGTCGTTGCCATACTGTGATTTTGCGTAACCACACATTATAACCATCGACAGCAGCTACAAAAACACTACAGACAAACAAATGTGAAACCTTATCTGAGGTTCTAAGCATCCAAGTATCGTTCCTCTTTAGTCTTCTGTTACATCAAACATCAAGAACTGCGAGGTTCGACAGCTCGGCTCAACAAAACCTGTCCCTGCTGTTGGAGTAATTTCAGGTTCCTGTTCAGTTTTCCCATCAAACAGTTTGAGGTTACAGACACCAATGACTCGTGACTTTACTTGGACTTGAGCCCTTTTGAGTTAAAAATACTTTCCTCCCAATGCCAAAGAGTAAAAAGTGTTATTTAAAGTCAATTCTTTGCCTTAATCGACTCTTAATTCCGCAGATCCACTTTATTTGAACCAATCCGACAGCATCCGAATCAAGCTGCAGGACAGAACCATGAAGAACTAATGTTATATTACTTACTGGGTGAAAAGTGCATTATGACTTGTTTAGGACTCAAAATTGAAAGTAGAGGACTTGGGACTTGACTGCAAATACACAAAAAATAGACTTGTTCTCGCCTCTCCTTATAGAATAAAGATTATGGGCCTACCTGTTCCCCCGGCACTGATCAGATGTCACCTCGCTCAGCTCGCTCTCCGTGGTACGACACTGATTAGCGTCAGTGCTCGACACGCGTACAGACGGGAAACTTGACGGTTCCTTTGCGGCACTGTCATTCTCCAAAACTCTGGTCCTGTGCTTGATGGTGCGACTGAACAACCCACAGATGATTGTGTTTTCGCGCAGAGCTGTTTCATTCATCTCCCTCCTCCTGCCTCCTGGGTCTGTTAGCTGCCGACTTTAAGCCGAATAAAGTCTCCAGTTAATTCACACATTCAGCTGAAGTTCTCCAGTTAACAAGGTCGCTCGTTAAACTGAAAACACGCGAGCGAGGTGGAGGCTGCGTGAATTTCCTCCTGTGTGGTATTGTAATCTCGGGATTGTGAACTAAGAGATTTCAGCCTCGCCGCTCTGAGACGCTTCCACCGTCTTTTAAAAAAACAAATACTGAACATTTTGTAACGATATGTCAGCATTCATTATTGTGGTTATGATGGCAGACCTACGCTACATTATCAAAGTAGGGCATATTCATTATGTCCTTTCATGGCGTTTAGTGCGTTGATGAAGTCTACTGCAGGTGCATAATGCTATTGCTTTATTGCTCAGACATAGTGACAAATACCTTTCAAGAGCCCAAAACCCAAAAATATTCAGTTTCCTGTCATATAACATAAAGGAAAACAACAAATCTTCACATTTGAGATAGAATATGAGGTATTTTTGCTTGAAAAACTATTAAAAAATGTTCTTAAAGTGGACCTGCAGCATAAAACATTCAAATCCGAGTTTTTTAACTTATTTGTTTCTCTTTCTATCATCTTTTCTGTTTTGTCTTAATTGCTAAAATCATCATGTTGTTGCCATACTGTGATTTTGCGTCACCACACATTATAACCATCGACAGCAGCTACAAAAACACTACAAACAAATGTGAAACCTTATCCGAGGCTCTAAGCATCCCAGTATCCTTCCTCTTCAGTCTTCTGTAACATCAAACATCAAACATCAAGAACTGCGAGGCTCGACAGCTCAGCTCAGCAAAACCTGTCCCTGCTGTTGGAGTAATTTCGGGGTCCCGTTCAGTTTTCCCATCAAACAGTTCGAGGTGACGGACAGCTGAAGCACTTGAAGGCTTGAATGAACATGAAACTCTCCTGCATGAATCAGGAATTATGACAATCTGGTTCTTTTTAGCACCAAACATCCAACCACTGACCTTCAATTTCTCCTATTCACTTATTGATTCAGGGTTAATTTTGGGTGATTTCAGCATCTACAGTGCTGCCATATGTTCACAGATTCAACAAACTCTGATTCAGAGCCTCTGACCTTTACATTTACAGTTAATGTCTTTCTTCCTCTGTTTTTGGCTTTATCTGAGCTGAAACTGGATGTCTGTGGTTGAGTCATCTGCTGCTGACAGTACATAGCAGTTTATAATAACCTGTATTTGTTGAATATGCACAATAATGACAGCCTACCAGGGGGTACAGGTCTTATCTCGATTGCTGTCTTGCACTCAAAGTCTTAAAAATGTGACATTTTTAGTCATAAACTTAAAAGAAAATTTTATTGTGTTGTTGACAACTACCAGGAGGCAGGTTGAGATTAAATCTGTTTGTATGTGGAGATACGTGGATTATTGGAAGGTTTTTTAAAGTGGCAACCAGCCAGACAAGCACTGCCGGACACCACGGCAATAATTGGAATGAGATCAGTTTTCTAGATGAGAAGAAAAAGCAGTTAAAATCATTTCACCGTTGGAGCTCGAACTCCTTTATAAAGAGGAAAGTCTAGACACCCGTGGTCTCTGTGTGGTGATCACATCGCGCTCATGTTTGTTCAGGTTTGTTAAGCGCTTTGTTGTTTTTATCTCGACGCATTACAAGCTTTTTGGGGGGGATTTCTTCCAGCTTTTAAAAACAACCCCTTATACTAGAGCTGTGTGCACATAATCTCACTTATGTGGAGCAACAGAGGTGATTGGAATGAATCTCATTTAACTTTCTTTAGGACTCCGCAGTGGGGGCGCAACTGAATTTAAGGCAGCGTTGATTTCACGTGATTCAAAAGCAGCCAAATGTACTTCTGTCACTTCAAGTTTAAGCTTGAAATCCTCCCGTACCCGACCGCCTCCGCCGGAGAAAGCAACAAAACGTTCTCTGTAGAGCTTTCAGATCAAATCAGTCCACCGGACGGATTCTTTATGCTCGGTACATTGTCTGCATGATTGTCTGTGTGTGTTGCCGACACATTGTGCCGCGCTGACTGTAGCTCCTCTGATCAAAGAGGCTGAGTCTTGTCTTTGGGGGTGTTGCGAGGACACGCAAGGAGGTTTCTAAGAAGAAGCATTACAGACATCAAAAGGTAAAAGTGCGGCGGATTTCCTCCTTTCACGTTCAATTGACTGTGATCCAAGCGGGAGGAGCTTCATTGATACAATCTCGCCTCCTCAGTGGAATCTGCGTGAATCCTCCTGCTTTTCCTCACTTTGTTCTTCTTAACGTGACACAGACAGACACACAACTCCTCTGAGACTCTTATTTTCATCAACAGGCATTTAATCTGATTGTTTGATTCATTTTTGTGGTTTATAAATTGGCAGAAAATAGTGAAAAATGCCAATAATAGCACCCAAGAAGACATCTTAGTCTTTTTGTCCGACTTATAGACTCTTTTCCTAACAAAGTACTTAAACACACAACTACAGCTGCAACCAACAATTATTTTCACTATTGATTATTATATCGGCCATTTTCTCCATTAATAGATGAGTTGTTTGGTCCAGAAAACGGTTATAATGTTTATCACAAAGCCCCAAATGAGCCAGACTAGCTGTTTCCAGTCTTTATTTTAAGCTAAGCTAGCAGACACAGATACTGTTTCCTGACAGTGTATAGGCAAACCACTACGGCTGCAACTATGATTTTCATTATCTGCCATTTTCTCAATTTATTGATGAGTTGTTTGTTCCATAAAAATGGTTAAAATGTTGATCACAAAGCCCAAGGCGACGCCCCCAAATGTTTTGTTTTGTCCACAACAAGATATTCAGTCACAGAAGACCAAAAATTCACTTTTAAGACGCTAAAATTCAGAGAATGTGGGCATTTTTTCTTTAAAAAATATGCAAAATGAAATCAAGATATTTGACTATTAATTGACTGGTACTATGACAGTACTTTGAGCTTAATGCTAAAATTACAATGCTAACATGCTGACGTTGAGCATGTTACAATGTTTACCATGTTCTCCTTCTTAGTTTAGTATTTTGGCATGCTAACATCAGCTAATTAGCACACAACACAAAGTACAGCTGATCCTGAATGTCATTCATTTTGCCGGTATTTTGGACAAACTGACGATCCTCTGACCGACAGTTTCCAAAGTTATTACCGCCTAACGCATCATGAAATGTCTGTAAACGTTCACGGCCGATCCGTCTCATAGCTGTTGAAATGTTTCAGCCCCGGAGTCTCGGGAGGAGTTCTGCCTCTGATAGACGGTTATGTAAAGAGTCTCACATCATTTTGTTGCCAGTTAAGTTTGCATTTACTCCCCTTTGATGTGCTGTCGGAAATCCCTACGGAAAGCATGACTGGGATTTGCAAGAAAAGCAAAAAAATAAAAAGGAGGCGGCTTCACGGACCAGTTTTGTTTTATTCCACAAAGTAAAACACATCACAAATACATAACCTTGGAGAATATTTGGTCTTTATATGTTGACTGCTGCAAAGGAAATGCTAAACGTTGGGGGAAAAGGGGAACAGTCATTAGATGCAGCAGTGAAACACCAAGTCTGCTTTCTATAACAAGTTTCCATAACTTATATAATAATAATATAACAACATTAAAGCAAGTAAAACAATAAACGTGCTGATGGGTAGATCAGAGCCAGGCTAGCTAGTCTTTACGCTAAGCTAAGCTAGCCGGCAGCAGACACGAAAGTGGCATCGATCTTTTCAATTGATCTTCTTGTTTGACTCTCAGATGAAAAACATCAAACTATTCCTTTAAGCATAACCAAGCATAAAGCATGGCCAGTGTTGCCATGGTTCCTCGCAGCCCAACGGAGGCTTAACACCAATTTAGAGGAGTGATTAAACCGTTGACCACCGGGACGACTCAAACCATATTTGAGGTGTCCTGTTTGGGCCGAACAGCCAATCAGAGTCAAAAAGATAAGAGGCCTTAAACTCCGTGGGGTAAAATGTGTTACAGCCATCAGGGACAAGAGGAGCAGCAAAGCAGACATTCATTTATATGAAACTGTTGCCGCTCAGTGTGTGTGAGAGCAACATGAAAATGGCAGCCATTTTAAATTAGTAAGCTAACAGCAGCCAGAATCAATACACACACACACACACACACACACACAAACACGTACAGTAATATAGAGTTTTCATAGACCTGTGGGGACCCAAGGCCACGACAGTTTCTCTATAGAGATCTATGAAGTGTGTGTGTGTGTGTGTGTGTGTGTGTCGATGCGGCAGATTCGAGCTCTTGTCTTCACCTTCCTCATCACATGGTTCACACAGTGTGTGGTTGCCAAGACAACAGGTAGTGGAGTGGATAGGGTCCCCCAGGGATTGGTGTGTCTGTCTCTGTGTGTGTGTGTGTGTGTGTGATAGAGAGAGAGAGAGAGGTGGGGTTATTGTGTATTCGGTACCCGCCCGCTCTCTCCCTCCTGCTGCAGATAGATCCAGCTCTGAAACAGCACGACCAGTGAAGCGTGCAGCCAGGCATTACCATGCTGACTGTAGGACTGACTGATAGTGTGTGTGTGTGTGTGTGTG